TTGAGTACTAAGATGAAATGACTCCAACTTTATAAATGTCACACGTCAATCAAAACATCTTTCCGTTTTAAACAAATCCAGTAAACAAAGTTGTCAAATTAAACGCGTTTAGTTTGGAATACAAATTTATCACTGATCCATAAGTAATAATCACACTAATTGTAAACTGATCTATTCAAATAGGCTTGTTTCGTAATGTATTGCGCCAGTACTCAATGCGATCTAATTAGGTATATAGTAAAGTTACTTTAATGTGTACTTGCAGGCTGATACGAACGGACATAGCATTTATGAACGGTTACGTCATGTAAATGTTGCTTCAATACCTCAGTGGTATACTCTCATAGCATTTCTAAGTTATTACACATGTACTAGGAATTCTCATTCTATTCTTCAAGCTCGGGTGACATTTTTTTAAAGAATAACGTTGACAAACGAGCATATAGTCCAACTGTTGATAAAATAATGCTGACATCTACTCTTAATAAAGAATCAAAATACAGATGGGACAGTATTCCATGTGAGACCGAACCTGCACCTTGTATATTTGCAGGTGGTATCCTGTCATGAAATATTGTCCCACTCTGTTGAGCACACCAAGCTTTTGATAGGCCAGTACGGTTCGTAAGTAAATTGTAATCAAGGATGTGAATTCAAATGCACAAACAGTTTTCTAAGGCTGCGTACTGCCTTTCTACATGACGGAAAGATGCTAGGTGAAATGATACTTGTTGGAAATATGCAAGAAAGTAGAACCGACCCTGATGGATTCTTGGGTAAGAAATTAAAACTCTAAATAAGCATTTGCTCATTTATTAAGTTTTACTTATTATATCTACAAACAAAGATATTGTTGCGCGCCTAAGTTGACGTCAGGAACCTGGCACTAGCGCCATCTTGTGTCGCTCTGCAATACGGTCGGGGCAGTATTGAATTTGGCGAGAAAAACGAAGCTTCGGAGCGAAATAAAGTGAATCAGTGTGATTAATTATTAGTGTTTTTAAGTTTTAATTGGTTTTCGGTAATAAAAGTGTAAATTTTGGTAATTCAATCTGCAGTTTTTATTGTCACGAACCCTAAGCTCGTAACAATATGTTTCAAAAGAAAAAGCAGATTCTCAATTCAACTGTATTTTTTTATGTGTGATTTTTTGTGATTCGTTTTTCTTTTTAACTTGAAATCTGGTGCTTCTTATGTAGTTTTTGAGCTATGTTTGATAATGCGTATTTAATAGACTTCGACTACATTGATGATGTTTTCATTTTATTTATATTGAAGTCAGTTGTACAATTTTTTTTTAATTTTACCACCTTTTAATTTAATAAAAACTACCTACGTGATTTTTCCGAAGTAATTAATTTCTAGTCTAATGTAAACTTCTCATTTGGTTAAATGAACTAACCACTACCCTAAACAGCCTCAACAGAGCCGTTATGTGCTCGAGAGGACTTCGCAGAAATAACTTTATTTTAAAACGAAAACAACTCTCATACGGGGAGTATTAACTGTATCAGAAACTTTATTATATATAGTAAAGTAAAGGGATAAAAAGTTCAAGTTCAAAATTTTAACATATTTATTTTTGTATTATAAACTTGAAACTAAATTGATCATATATCTTCATTTTATAATAATATATACAAGGTAGATGAAACCAGTTAGTGGTAAGAATAAAATGTATAGTTATAGCCAATTTACGCACCACCGGTTTCATAAGAAGAAAATATCAGTTCGCTGCCTCAATGCGTGTTGGCGGAGTTCAGGTGTCCGAAATATTTTTTTAATTCCTTAAGAGCCCTCTTATATTTCGGCGTTACTCAAATTTAGGTATCACTTACACTTCGAACGGGCGATGACCTACGCGAGCGACACTTTATATCATATCGATTCATTAGCTCGCACTTTGATACTGTGAGAACGATCTTGATCTTCCATTATACAAGTTTTCTTAGGATGGAGTTGAGTGGATGGACAATTTCTGGTGTGTCATTTTCATGTTATCTAATTAATTTATTATAATCTATTTGATATATTCTTCATTATTTAAGAACCTTAGTTTTGAAATAAGTACACATAATAATTATTATATATTATAATTATAATTATAATTGTTTCACAGTAATCGATTATTAACCGATGTTGGTGGATATAAATAAATTAATAGTACAGTTGCAACCTGTTTTAATAAATAAAATAACCAACTATAACTTATATTTTTTTTAATTGATACTTACAGTCAATTACCATATTTTTTATTATAAAAACATTTGCCGCAACGGTATTGACCGACTTCATCTCGAGTCAATAATTTCAGGCAGTACACAATTTATTAAAAAAGTTGAAGTACAATTATCTTACTAACTTAATAGAAGAGTCTGGTAGAGATAATAAAAAGATTTGGCGGCGTGTAAAATATATTGCATTTATATTCAAACAGCATGAATCTTCATGAGAATCATTATAAAATAATTCTTCGTCACTTATATCAGCAAATACAGCAAATAATTACTTTGTGAACGTCTGAAAAATCTAGCTGAGCAGATAATAAACAATTCTAACCAAAATCATGAATACAGTGCCACCTTCTTTACTCAAAGAAACCACTGGAGCTCACTTAAAAAGCTGTATTAAAAGTCGCAACATTCCACCCTGTCCTATTCTCGCCCTAGCTCTTATATGTATAAATCCCATAATGTCCTCTCAGTGCGCCAGTTATTCGCTATGAGTACGTTACTAAAACAGCACTTAAAATTGCACTGCAGAAGAGAGGTCACTAATAAACGACGCAAACATAAATTAATTGAAACTAATATTAGAATACAGCATTCATTCATGCTTAAATTTTTTACATTTACATTTCATAATCAAGTCAATGCAATTTTGTACATGTAACTATTAAAAATTAGAACGGTTATCATGGTGATTAGCTGTCACAAGTGTTTGATAAATTTTTTCAAAAAAATTTAATTTTTCAGCGTTTTATTCGTGTGAATCGCTGTTTTTTATTCTTCTTTTAAACTAATTTCTGTTTCATGGAAGAGAGTAATGAGGAAGACAATGGTAACTTTGAGAATAGTGATCAAAGTGATTGTAAAGGTGTAAGCGATGGTGAACATGAGTGTGAAAATTCCAAATTTCTAGAGAAAAATAAGATGGAAACCCAACATAAAATTAGGTCAGCGGAAAAAAGAAAAAACGAAGAACAGTGGAGAAGATAACAGTGAAGAGCGTTTTACAACAGTTACAAGGAGAAAACCAAAATGTCGTATTAGGAGTGATTTAACAAAAAATGCCGATAATAATCAACTCATTGACGCATTGACAACGCCGTTAAAAATGCAATGCTTAGAAGAATATTATGAAGTTTGTATTACATCTTTCCGATTCACTATTCCGATGATATCCCGGACGTCAGTCTAAGCGAGATTAGAATGGCTCTCCACCACCTTAAAAACGGCAGGGCCCCAGGCGAGGATGGAATTACAGCGGAGCTTCTGAAAGCGGGTGGAACACCGGTACTTGAAGTCCTTCAGAAGCTCTTCAATTCCGTCCTCCATGGTGGCACTACTCCAGAGGCGTGGAGCAGAAGTGCGGTGGTCTTGTTCTTTAAGAAAGGCGACAACGCTCTCTTAAAGAACTACAGACCGATTTCCCTTCTGAGCCGCGTCTACGTGCTGTTTTCGAGAGTCATCACGAATCGTCTCGCACGCAGACTTGACGACTTCCAGCCTCCCGAACAAGCCGGTTTCCGAAAAGGCTTCAGTACCATAGACCACATACATACCCTGCGGCAGATTGTACAGAAGACTGAAGAGTACAATCTGCCACTTTGCCTGGCGTATGTGGACTATGAGAAAGCCTTTGATTCCGTCGAAATTTGGGCGGTGCTACAGTCCCTTCAGCGGTGCCAAGTTGACTGTCGGTATATCGAAGTGCTGAAGTGTTTGTACAGTAGGGCTACGATGGCTATCCGAGTACAGAACCAGAGCTCGAAACCTATCCAACTGCAGAGAGGTGTAAGACAGGGTGACGTTATATCCCCGAAACTCTTCACCGCTGCATTGGAAGACGTTTTCAAGCTACTGGACTGGAAAGGATACGGTATTGACATCAATGGCGAGTACATCACTCACCTTCGATTTGCCGACGATATAGTCCTTATGGCAGAATCGCTGGAGGACTTAAGCACTATGCTCAATGACCTAAATAGTGCCTCCCAACGGATAGGTCTTAAGATGAACATGGACAAAACAAAGATCATGTTCAATGTCCATGTCACACCTATGCCGGTAGTTGTTGGGAGCACTATGCTCGAAGTTGTTGACGAATACGTTTACCTGGGACAAATAGTCCGACTAGGTAAGTCCAACTTCGACCGAGAGGTCAATCGACGGATTCAACTCGGCTGGGCAGCGTTCGGGAAATTACGGCATATCTTTTCGTCAGGTATACTTCAATCTCTAAAAACTAGATTGTACAACCAGTGCGTGTTGCCAGTGATGACTTACGGATATGAGACGTGGTCCTTCACTGCTGGCCGTATGAGGACGCTTAAGGTCGCTCAGCGAGCTATGGAGAGGGCTATGCTCGGAGTTTCTCTGCGTGATAGACTCAGAAATGAGGATATCCGCAGTAAAACCAGAGTGACCGACATAGCCCAACGGATTAGTAAGCTGAAGTGGCAATGGGCCGGCCATATAGCTCGAAGAACCGATAACCGATGGGGAAGAAAGGTTCTCGAGTGGCAGCCTCGTACCGGTAGGCGTAGTGTAGGGCGACCCCCCACTAGATGGAGTGACGACCTGGTAAGACATGCAGGAAGTCGATGGATGCAGGTGGCTCAGGACCGTGCTTTGTGGCATTACTTGGGGGAGGCCTATGTTCAGCAGTGGACTTGTGAAGGGCTGTAATGATGATGAATGATGATTACATCTTTGCAATGCCTTCCTAAACAAATAGGTTTGGCTAAACTACTTAAGTCAGAAAATATTATTAACATTATGAAAATTCGGCTTAAAAGCCCGTATAAGGTTTTGGTTCAATTCCAGAAGTTAGAAGATGCTTATCAGCTAATAAACTGTAAAAAGATTTTAGATTTGGATTATCATTGTCTTATTGTGAATGAGACATATTTATCTTTTGGAGTTGTAAAAGGAATTGATATAGGAATTGAAGAACAAGAAATTTTAGAAAATTTGACCTCATCATGTGAAATTTCGTCTCTGAAAAGACTCAAACGTTTAGATATAAATGGTAAGTGGACAGACAGTGAAGCATTTCGTTTGACATTTAAAAGTGAACAACCGCCTTCATATGTATATGGATATGGATGCAGATTCAAGGTCGAAATCTATCACTTTCCAGTCACGCAATGTTCTGGATGCTGGAGTTTTGGACATTACGTAAAATTTTGCCCGAATAAAAAGATTTTATGTCCTAAGTGTGGAGACAGATGCGAAACTATTGAATACAAATGTGTAAACTGTAAAGGCCCACATGTGGCACTTGATAAAGCGTGCTCTATTTTTGTTAAGGAAAACAGTATTCGTAACATCATGAGTCAACAACATTTTAGCTACAGAAAAGCACTGGATATTTACTTAAAACAGACAAAACAAACTATGGATAGCCCAACATCTATGAATAAAGTACAAAAGGCTGATAAAGCATCAAGTGCTGATTATACGAAATCATATAGAGATATACTTCTAACAAATAACTACATAAATCAAAACTTATCAGATACCGAAAGTGGAGAAGAGGATACCAGTAAAGAACAAGCAACTTACAAAAACATTAAAAATAAACATATTAAAAAAGTTCCTAATTATAACGTTAAACATTCAAAGCAAAAAAGTCCATTGTTGCAACCGAGTCAGCTACATTAAATAATGAAGAAGTGACAAGAATGGAATATGACGCATGTACAGAAAAACAAGAGGAGAAACAAAAGATATCTAAGATATGGGTAATTATTAGAACGGTAAAAGAAATTCTGTTCTCTGAAAGCAAAGTAGAAGAAAAGATTCTCGATATTGTAAAGTTAGTAACTGGGGAGTTGAAAATAATCTTTATGAAACTTATAATGGAAAAAGAAATATTAAATAAACTTTTAAATGCAGTTAATAATAATAATAATAAATCATTTATTTCGGACAACTTGTACATCCATATTGTGTTAGTACAATGGCTTACAAAATATGTTAGTAATAATAATGGATAACACATCAAAGGATTTTACGCTGTCTATACTCCAGTGGAATGCACAAAGTATTAAGCCCAAAATAGTTAATTTTGAATCCCTGTTGATACAAGAAAAATACATATAGCATTTGTGAGTGAAACGTTGTTGGCTGAGTGCTCGCCTCTAGGAATAAGTGAATATAACATTTTTAGGAAAGATAGATGCGACTCATATGGTGATGTGGCTATAATGACACATAAATCAATTAAGGCGCATCAATATTCAATAAGTACAAGCAATACTGGTTTAGAAGTAGTTTATGTCAAAATCTTCAATTGTAAGTATCTTGAAAATGTTTTATCTATTTACTGCCCATCTTCTGTTAGAACATCTTCAAGGATTCTGGAATAACATATTCGGCCTTTGCCCACGCAAATGTGTCATTGGAGGAGATTTTAATACGCATCACACCAACTGGTCTAATAAAATTGACACCAGAGGGGCATAATTATTAGACAGTTCCTTGGATTTCGGTGTCATATCAACAAATAACGTAAAAGCTACCAGAATTAAACTTGTAAATGGTTGTCTTCAAAAATCTTCACCTGATATAACATTTGTGTCTTCCGATATTGCTATATACTTTAATTGGCGCATAACTAACGAAAATCTTGGTAGTGATCATTGGATTATTGGAAAATTGCTTAAAGAAGAAAGATACATCCCCCGGATTCGATGACATTTCTTATGTTATGATTTACAATTTCCCTGATGTTACCAAACAGTATTTATTATATTTATTTAACATAATCTTATCAACGGGATACATACCCATATAATGGCGAAATATTAAAATTATTCCTATACCTAAGCTAGGCAATAAGGATAAATTAGGGCCTATATCGCTAATGTCCTGTATTTGTAAGATATTTCATGCTCTTATAACGAAAAGATTAGAATGGTTACATAGAACACAACAAGATATTATCCCCTTTCACCAGTGGGTTTCGCAGATTTCAATCGTCCTTGGATTGTTTAGTATGCTTAGTAACACATATTCAGCTAGGTTTTTCAAAAAAATATACCTACTGTTGCCTGCTTTATTGACATAGAGAACGCTTATAATAATGTCCCAATTGATAAATTAGTTAATTTTCTTGACAGACTTCGGGTTGGTTCTAAATTTTGTAAATATATTTGGTCTTTTTTAACCGAAAGATATCTTGTTATGGAAAGGGAATCACATAAAGGGGAATTGAAAAGATGGGCCAGTAATGGTTTGGCGCAGGGTGAACCTCTATCTCCCTTGTTATTTAACATTATTACACATGATATATGTAGACAAATACAAAATGTATCTATCGCTCAATATGCAGATGATTTTGTAATCTATTCGAGTTCAAAAAATCTTAAGGACTCTGAGTATAACATTCAGAATGCTTTAAACTTTATAATTACATCACTTAATAAAATTGGCTTAGATATTTCTACCGCCAAGAATAAGCTTATGATTTTTAGTAGAGGTTTTAGACGTCAGGAAATTAAATTAGAACTATATGGAAAGAGAATAGTTGAGACAGACAAAATGCGATATTTGGGTATTTGGTTGGACCGGTCATTAAGATGGTCTAAACACATTAATGAAATTAGCCAAAAGATATTAAAATTTGTAAATATATTAAAAGTGTTAACAGGGTATGGTTGGGGTATCCATCCGCAGCATTTACGTAGGTTATACTTATCACTTATAAGAAGCAGAATTGATTTCGGCTGTTTTTTATATGATATGAGTGCTAATGATCCGTAAGTCATCTCATCCGTGATGACTTACGGATCTGAGACGTGGTCCTTCACTGCTAGCCGTATGAGGACGCTCAAGGTCGCTCAGCGAGCTATGGAGAGGGCTATGCTCGGAGTTTCTCTGCGTGATAGACTCAGAAATGAGGATATCCGCAGTAAAACCAGAGTGACCGACATAGCCCAACGGATTAGTAAGCTGAAGTGGCAATGGGCCGGCCATATAGCTCGAAGAACCGATAACCGATGGGGAAGAAAGGTTCTCGAGTGACAGCCTCGTACCGGTAGGCGTAGTGTAGGGCGACCCCCCACTAGATGGAGTGACGACCTGGTAAGATATGCAGGAAGTCGATGGATGCAGGTGGCTCAGGACCGTGCTTTGTGGCATTACTTGGGGGAGGCCTATGTTCAGCAGTGGACTTGTGAAGGGCTGTAATGATGATGATGAATGATAATGATGAGTGCTAATAGAAACATTTGTAAATTAGATAAAATCCAAAATCAAACACTTCGTATTATAGGAGGTTTTATCAAAAGTACACCAATACACGTTATGGAAAGTGAATTAAATATAACGCCTCTATATATTAGAAGAAAATTTTTAGCATATAAATATTGTCTGAAAGGTAAATCTAGAACTAATAATACTACTATTAAACTATTAACAGAACTCAGTTTATTCTGTCAAGACAGGTACTGGCAAAATAAAAAGAAACCACTTCTAGCAATTACATTAGAACAAGTTAATAATAATAATGTGTATTCTTCGGATCCACTAGATATGTTCTCTTTAAATACTTGGGTATCAAGTATCAATGTTAAAAACGTAATTAAACAGGACTTAAATTGTATCAAGGGTGCTAAAAGATGTCAGGAGATAAATACTTTAAAGTCGAATGTAATAAATGAATTAAATGTTAATTATTTCGGATGGCACAAAATTTTCTGTGATGGATCCAAAGATAAATATGGTGTAGCCGCTTATTTTGACTCCTTGCTGGGTAATAAAAGTAAAATTAAAATTCCTAATAATTTTACGATAATGTCAGCTGAATTAATTGCTATAAATGATGCCCTATTATATACTGGTACAACAAATTTTCAAAAAACAGTCATTCTAACTGATAGCAAGAGTGCTCTTGAACATATTGCTCGATGCATCTCTGGTCTCAGAGGTGTATCGATAGCATATTCGATATTTAATGAAATATTGAAACTTCAATGTAAGAACCGTGAGTTAGTATTCCACTGGGTACCGTCTCACATCGGTTTACAGGGCAATGAGGAGGCTGATAAGCTGGCGAAATTGGCAATCATCCAAGGAAGAGAATGTAATATTTATCCTGATTATTCAGAAAATTTAATTAAATATAAAGAATGTTATACAATTTGGAAAGAATATTTTGATAAAAGATCGCAAGAAAAAGGGATTTGGTACAAAACCATCCAGTCAGCCTCCGAAAGTGCCTTGGTTTAATCAATGTCTGTTGAATAAAAAATATATTGTATTAGCAATGCGACTTCGTTCCGGACACATTCCGTGTAACAAGTTTGCTTTCATGATGAAAATGAAACAATCTCCCACTTGCTCGTGGAATGTTCCAAAATCATCATGAAAGGAAACTATTAGTTGTCAAAACTGATATTAAAATTTGTAAATAATTTAAGAAATTGTAGTTTATTATTTAGTTATAAGGTACAATGGGCCTGATATGTTTAAAACAACCTAAGTCCCTAAATTTAATAAAAAAGAATTAAAAAAACTATTAAAATGGCGGATTGGAAAAATGTAATTCGAACATGATTACAAAATTTGTCACATGATGATACGGATAAGTTGCTGATTGTTTTAATAAATAACATAAGTGGATTATTATTAATAGTATATTTTTCCAAAATAAATCCAATTATTTGGTATGTAATTAATTTTATATAAGTAACAGATAATATTTGATAAATCTGTTGGCACATACACCTGAGATAGGTTTATCTTAGTTCAGGTGCCTGTTATTGTAGACTTTTTTGAATTAATACATTGTTTGAATTAAGTGTATAGTTTATTTAAATAAAATATTAAAAAAAACAGTAGACATAATAAAGTTTGCGCAACAATTTGTATTAGGAAAAATAACTTATAATATAAAGTAAAGGCCGCCTTCAAAGAACTAAACGTAATAAAATAATTTAATAATGTGAAGTCGGTGCTAAAATAAGTGTATCTATAGAATGATTAAAGCGCCGACTTCAGAATTTCAAATCATTTTTTTTATTTATTAAATTCGTCTTTAATTTTTTATTAAAAGTTATTTCATTAATCTTTTGAGTGGATATTTACTATTGGGGGTTGCAGTTTTTATCCAAATTATATGGGACTGCCCCTGAAGTATACCATATTTAATAAAAATCGATTAATATTTGGCAAAGACATCGCATAACATAACATACATACAACGATTGACAAATTAAAAAAATTATACAACTGACTTCAATTTCAATACAACGAGAACATCATCCATATATTCGAAGTCAATCAAATACGCATTATTAAGGATAACTACTGGTCACATCTTGATCTAATTTATATGGCGCCACATGAAAAGCACAGCTTTTAAATAAAACAAGAATCATCAAAATCGATTCACCTATAAAAAAATTCTGATGTAACAGACACAAAAACATACATTTGAATTGAGAATCTAATCTGGTTGGGCGGCGGGCCTTAGGGTTCCCGAGTTCGATTCCCCGGTCGAGTCTTGACCCTATTACGCGAGATGTTATACTAGATGGTAAGGTACTGTATACGCAGGAAGCTTCTTCTGCCTCGACAAGATGGCGGATGTGGTACGCGGTTCCTTGACAATGCACTCGCTCTTCCGATATCTATTGTTTGCCAAGGTTATGAAGGAA